CCCCGAAGGCCGCCTGGAAGGAGAGCGGGGCCGCGGGAGGGTTGCCGGGGGACACGACCCGGGAAATGCTGCAAACCGGGTAGAGGGGAGATGCTGGGAAAGGAGGCTGTAGTGAGTTTTTATCGGTGTTTGTCAATGGGAAACCAGTGGGAAACTAGCGCAGAGCTTATGGAGACAAAGTGTCAGGTAGCGCTCTACCAGAAAACAGGCGTCCTTCTCGGTGGGGGATTTTCCCGTTCCCTGCAGATTATGTGTAGTTTTGCTAATCGGCATTAAAACGATGATGACGATAATACCTGAAAAATCTGCTTATTGTTGCAGATGGGCCAGAAAGCTAGGGGAGGGCTTTTACGTAATTAATTGCTAGAGTTGCTTCAGAAGCACCGCTTCTAACTTTAGCGGGCTGGCGCACAGAAACGGCCCTTAGATAAAGGCTGTCCTGTGCTTGCTCGTTCTTCACCCTCAGCTCCGTGTTTGTGTTGGGGCGGGGGGCAGTCTTATTTGTTTGTTTTAAATCTAGACTAATGCCGTGGTTTGAATACAAACATGAACCTGTCTTCAGAAGTTGACATCACTGAGGAATCAGCCAATTGGTTGACGTTTAACCAACCTTCTTTTTACACATAAACCCCATCAAAGAGTTGTTTACACTAATGTTCTTTTGAAATGCAAATCCAGAATGCCAACAGACTGAAACTCAATTTAGATTAATGTAATTACCTGCAATACACAAATGAGGCTATACTATCTAATAGCCTTCACTTAAACCTTTTTAGAGGATCAAAAAGACTCCTATTGTTGAAGTTTAGTACTACAACAATTAAAAGATGCCTCTGTGTGATTTTCGTGTTACCTTTATAACTTTGTAGAAGCTTGTGGTTTTGCTTTGGTACTCTGGAATAATTACAATTCACATCGAAAAAATATAACAACTTTGTGACGCATTAGGTGCACGTCTCGTAGGGAGATTTTTTGCTGCTTGCTTCTTAGGAAATTATTTCTCTTCAGAAAAATAATTGTCCCTCTTCTTGTTTTAGGCTTCAAAGAAATCAATGCTCCAACTATTACCCCACCTCTCAGTCAGCCCAAAAGATCAAAAAAACGCCATGCAAATTTAACGTTGGATAAAATGATGGAAAAGTTCCTGCAGCAGAGCGTGGATACCGAAGAGAAATTTTACAGATACGAAGAGCAGAGGCTCAAAATTGAGGACAAGCGTCGGGAAGCTGAGCATGCTCGAGAGCTGCAGATGTTACAAATGTTGGGACAGATGTTGGCAGGAATTTCTTCCACAGTATCACAGAGGTCACAGTCTATACCAGCAAGTCCACCTCAGAGAGCGAACCATCGTTCGTATGGCGATAACTTTAATTATAATGCTATGACAGCAGCACTCTCTCCACCGATAGGTACTTCCTTCTATAGCATAAATAAAAACTAGTCTGGTTTTTTTTTTGTTTAACTTCTGTGTGAAAGCACTGGTAGTAAGTAGCTTTTGAAAATAAAAGCTAATTGGAAATATTTAATATTGTGGTAAAGGTGTCTGATGTAAAATGAAAATGTCATTCGTACCATTGCACTGATTATTTAATGTAGATACATCAGTTACAACAAATCTTAATGATCAGAATCGCACCTTTCGAACCATGTAAGCATCGGGGACTTCTTTCCACGTTCACGCCTCTGTAAAATGAAGTTATATATAAAAGACAAGTAGCACGTTTGCTGAAAGCCTGTCTGGAAACATTAGGTACCTTGTAGCAGAAATTTGGCTGCTATTGAAGTTAACGGGCCTAACCCAGTATGTGAAGTTAAGGCTGTGCATATGTTTTTGTCAGGGTTGGGAAAAGAGTGGAGTTCTGGCTACACCCAAGCAAGTCAAATATTGAAATCCAGCTTCTTTAAAATAAATTTCTTTAAAACAAAACTCTGAATCTTACCTTTTAGTTAAACATTGGATTACTGCAGTAGGTGTAATAGGAGATGGAAATATATGCCGATACATTTTTCTTCTACACGGTTCATTTGTAAATTCTTTGGGTGTCTGAATTTATTTTAGAGAAGGCGGCAAAGCAGTAACTCTAGAATTGGTATTTATGCACAGACCTTGGCTTCCATACCTGACGCGTGGGCCAGAAGCTGATAATCGGTAATTAGCATTCATTAACAGACTTCTCAGGATCTGTGGCTCCATGTCATTTATCTTTATCATAGTCTCTTTGTAGGTGGAGGTAGACTGCATGGGCAGGAGGAGAACGGGGTTACTCTTGTTGGTGCTGAAACCAGAGTCAGCCTGGGACTCGGTGGTTGTAGCCTGCCACGTGGAAGTGTCGCAAGTTTCGCTCTGGTTTAATTCTGAATTTCACACTGCTCAGGAGAAAAAAAAGCGTGGTTCGAAAAGTAAAAAAAAACACCCAGCCTCAGTGTTAAATAATAATCTGGCATGCCAGATCCTAGAGAGGATTCCCCGATTCCTCTGAGGATCTTGGAGCCTTTTCAGTTCTACGTCACATACTGCGTTTCGCTGTAAAATGCGTGGGGGACTGGATGGTTAGGTTTGCTGAGGGTTTAGGCTGGCTGACTTGGTTGTCTTTCTTCTTGACTGGATAGTTGGTCCATAGCATTCGTTGATGGCAGCAGGCTTTCGCAGATAAATTACGGCATACGTATGGATTCTATGTTTTTGCTTTTAAATTAAAAGGAAATAATGAAGGGCTTTAGAAAATCCCTTAGGAAATCGCTTGAGATTCAGGACTGGGGCGATGGTACCTACAAGGCTTTCCCATTACTTCTGAAAGGTTGTTTGCTGAATTTCATGATCTGTGAAGACTTGAAATTAAAGTTCAGTTTTTCTTGCTAGATTTCGTCATACAGGTGTTCAGTCATATTACACTGTGCAGAAATGCTTTATATATATTGAACTGTAGCAAGAGCAACTCAGGATTCTAATCTTTTAATTGGTGAAGGTGTAACAGAGTGTTCTTAATAAAATGGGAAACTAATGCTTCAGGCAGCACGTTTTCTAAAGAATTAAGATTTCAGTTGTTTATAGTTACATATGTCTCAATGTTTCTGTAGGTGAGCAGGGCTCTATAAAGAATTGTTTCTTGTGTAGTTCTCTATTTTCTCCCCATTTATTATGCAATCGCTCTATATTTACATATAAACAAAAAACCAGCATCAAAGAAACAGAGAGCTTTCTTGACAACACTGTACTGAAAGGGTTGCAGGCTATATATTTCTTCTGTGGTTGAAAACCAGTGAGTGTGTGAAGTGTGATTTAAAGAAAATAATCTGCCCTATTTGCAGCGGAGATGAGCGGTTTGTTCTCTGGGTCACTGCAATGCTATTTTGGCTGTAATCCAAAACAGGGTGTTTTTTTTTCTTTATATTTATCTCAATAGGAACGGGATGCCTGTATTATAGAAGGATTTTAAAAGCAAAAGATCAGCCAGGAGTATTTATCATTATCGAACACTAAAGCATTTTATTACTGAAGATTAGCGCGCCTGGTTCAGGTTGAGATTCTGTGGAAAACAGAAAAAGATGCTTTCCGCTGATAGCGCACAGATGTGGAGTTTTCTTGTTCATTACATTTTTCCCCCATTATTATGTCTGAAATTTCTGGACCAGTTTTTCCTTCCCCTGCCTTAGATTTGGAGCTGGGGGGTGGAATTACTAAGTTTCATACAACTGAAAATAAGGAGTATCGTGGGAGTTACTTTTTACATAATTATGTATTACGATATAGCAGTTCCTTGAAAGCTTTTCAGAAGGTTTGTGAGAAAGAAAATAAGCACAGCTATGGTCTAGGAGACTAATATTAACGTTCAAATAAACAGCTCTTCTGAACAGAATTGTACAGTGAATGAGGAGCTTTGTTGAAATACAAGAGCTTCTGGTGTATTTAGTGCCATTTATAGTTAACACATCATAGACAGAAGTACGGATCTTCAGATTTGTCCCACGTTAGGTAAACTGTTTAATTCTCTCCAGTTCTTATTGTTGAAACACTTTTTTCTTCTAAACTTTTGTAGTTTTTTGAAACAGTAATTTGAATATGAAGCCTTCTGAGCGTGCAGTTGTTTTAAGATGTAGCTTGGCATGTTGCTTTGCATCAGAAATCTGTAGTTGTACTATAGCTGAAGACAATCTTGGTGTGATATGTGTAATGTTTGCGTATCGTGCGTTGGGTTGGTTTCGCAGAAAGACTGCCGTTATGCTTTGTAACCACTTGCCAAAATAAAAAGGTAGTGACATAGGCCCTGATTCTGCTAAGAGGTGAAAGTCTTTAAGGGGAAGCAAAAAATAAGGGTGTACGTTTAAAATGTGGTTTTAGTTGGTCTGAGCTTGCTCTGTGCCTGGATGTGTTTAGTTCCTCCTAAGCGTACCTATTTCATTTGAGCTTAATCATGGAAGTGATTTCAGACTGAACTAAGAAGATATTTCTAGTTACAAAATGTTCATATAACTATTCTGGGCTGTTGTTTCTTTCTGAACCTGAGCCCTAAATTAGGAGTGTGAGCAGTCAGTGGGAATATTCTCTGCATCAGACCCTAGATTAATTTTTAAAATTATCGTCTTCCCTAGTTACTCGCTGTTTTAAACCCCCTTATGTGGCGAAGCATTTGGTTTTTAGAAGTATGTCACTTTGTATATCTTTGAGTGATTTCGTTAGCGTTTATGAGTACTTAAAGGAAATGCTGATGGTAGTTTAAGAAGGAACATACTCTAAAGTAACAGTTATTTTCTTCTTTTCAGTTATAGAGAGATCTTTTTCACTGCACAGAACACACTCTCTAAAGGATATGGAGAATATTTTTCAACTGGTGCGCAATGTTATCCCTCCTCTAACAGGGAAAAGGCATAAAGGTCAAGATGGACGTATAGGCATTGTTGGAGGATGTCAAGAGTAAGTTAAACAGACATTTGATTTTTGTTTCTGAGAGAGTTTGAGGATGTCATATGTACTTGTAGGAGCTGTTCACACTCACATTTAAAACAATGTTTTCCAGAGACCGTTACTGGTCCATCTTCGTGACCATACGTGGTTATGAAAGATCGTGTTTCCCTGCACTTATGTTGCAAAATTTTGGTAGCAAACGTAGTTGAAACTTGGAATGCTGTTTGTGTCTGTGTCTGCCTTTGCTGTCTATTTTGACCAAGCTCTCTGCTTTCAACGTTAACCTTCTCCCATTGCACGCTGAAGTCATAGCGTAAGTAGAATAGAACAAGACAGTGGCACATCTGACATCTTGTGAACTAGGTCTCTTAAATCAGGAATAGAGTATTTTCTTAATGCACACTTTGTAGTTGGATAAATTGTGGTGTTTACTAGATTCTCTCAATACCTTGTTATATGTTCTGGAGTAATAGAAATAGCCTGTTTTGTGGGAAGAAAAGAGATACAGCATAAATCAGTTAAATGCTGTGCTGACCTAGAAATAAAACAGGCTCTATTCTTTTCTTGGCCACATTCAGTAATCTGCACGATACCTTGAACGAGCCACTACATGCTCCTGGTTTTCCTCTTTGCCTTTTGAAATAGAGGTGGCATCTTTCTCCTGTAAGAAACATCTGCTTTTTTGTACATGTACCATTAATTCTATAAAGAGCAAAAAGGTGCTGTCTTGTGTTGATTAGCCAGGAGTTAGTTTTGCTGTTGGTCTAATGGGCTTAGGTTCTTACCTCTTGGAAGAAGTTGACACCTCTGGTGGTGATTCTGTCCATATCTCTTTCTTCAGTCTTTATGAAGAGAATTTAGGGCAACTGGAATCCCAGTTTAGGCAGTTCTGTAGAGCATCTAAAACCAGATGGGATTGACTCAGGTCACAGATCCCAGATTTGGCTTGCAAACAGTGCTCAACTCCTGTTTTATTTGTCTCTAAACTTTTAAGGTAGTTAAAAGTTTGAGAAGAGTTTGCTTTTTTAAGCATAATCTTTTTAAATATTTCTATGGAAGGATCAGGTGGCTAAGGTGAAATCCTGTGCCTTTGATATCAAAGCAAGGTTTGAGATTGGCTTCAGTATAGCAAGATTTTCTGTGTCGTTTACAGCAAACAATAGAGAGAAGGTTGGTTTGTTTGTTTTTAATTGCTCTTGCATTTGGGACATCATTATGGCAGGCTGATTTCCAGACTATGTAATCTCATGTTTCCTAACCTAACTTGTATTTCATTCCAGATACACTGGAGCACCGTATTTTGCTGCAATTACAGCTCTCAAAGTGGTACGTGTTCTTCTACACCAATCCAAAATGAACTTTTCATCATTTATACTGGCTAAGCGCCATTTTCTAAAAGCATTCATTCTGTGCGGCATGTGAAATTTGAGTTCTGAAAGGCTTTCTATTTAAGAAGGAAAATCCTTAGTCCTGGATTTGTAGTAAGACCTTGTAAATATGTGTCATTTGCTATGTTTTCTGTAAATATTTCCTCTGTATAAGGTGAAGTTCCACATGTGTCAAAAATGAGAAGATTCCATGTTTTATCAGAGACTTGGATAGGAAATTTCAAAACCTGATGAAGTATTTTCTCCGAAGGTGAACAATAAAATAACTTTAGGTTAATGTTTAAAGTTATATTTTCAGTGCTGCAGTCAGTTCTTCAGAATTTTTTTTCTGGACCTGCTAAGTGTGGGGAATGACGTAACTTTCTTTCAAAACTTGCGGCTTTAGGCTAGTAAAATTCTTGCGTGCTGTAAGTCTCAAGGCTGTTGGTTGAATTTAATGTCATTTTTAATAGTATGTTTTGGTTACATTTTAATCTTTGGCATAAGTATTTTGTAAGAGGTTTTTTTCCCTGGAAGTGTGAACTTCTGTATTTTAGTGAGATACTAACTGGCTAAAAATGTATTTACAGTAGGCTACCTAAATACAGTGGTGGTTATTCAAATGTAAACAAATCATGCTTACATAATGCCTATGCTTTTCAGTACTCTGTACGTAGTGTGTCAGTAGTCTCTTTTCGTGAAGATTTGTTTCAATAAATCGTTAACCATCCAGGTATTTCCACCACCACTCCCCCACACCCTGTCAGATGCAGTCCCTCAAGGACTTAAAACTGAAATGATACTATTTAATGATCTTATGTGAGATAGTAAGGCCACTGAGCTTTCTGTTCACTATGTGTGAATACAGAGGCATACTAGGATGTCCCCTATGGAAGTCGCTTGGTCTCAGATCATTAGATCTGCACATGAAGAGTCATCTCTCAGCTTAGTAGCTTGAAATGTTAAATGTGTAGTAGTAGGAAAGCAGAGGAGTCGCTTTCTTAACCTTGGGAGATTACAATATACAAGGCAGATACAAGATCAGGCTTTCTGGTCACTGCTTACATGATTTTTTATGTCTGTGTCTGATTTTTTTTAGTTGGTAACAGAAGCTTGAGGCTAAACTCCTCAGCGGTAGTGTGTATTAACTTAAGGGGCGTTGTTGAAATTGTGCCAGCCTTCATCTGGGAAGGATTTGGCACAATAAGTAAAAATGGGAGGACTGGAAATGTACGTGCAGATTGCCCTAACTATGTTTAGCAAGTGTATTACGGTAGTATTATTCCTCTCTAATGTAGCTAGTCTCTTGCTCAACTGTCTTCTTTTGCCTTTCTTCTTATAGTATGTGTGACATTTTAGTCTTTGCTCATCTGCAAATGAGAAACATTTCTCAAGTGAGTAATGTTCAAGTTTTGTGTTTTCGGTGAGAAACAGAAATAAATTATATTGGAAGTTAGATACAAAAAACATTCTCCAGAACATTTCATGGTCGCCTAACCTGAAGTCCAAAAAATACTGAACTTTGCTTCAGAAGTAACAATTCAGGTGAATGATTCACTGTCAAAAGTTTGAAATGATAAAGTGATTCTTAAGTATAAATTTGATAATCCTGTTTTTCAACTTTTCTTTTTTAGGGTGCAGATTTATCCCATGTGTTTTGTACCAAAGATGCAGCAACAGTAATCAAATCATATAGTCCAGAGCTGATTGTTCATCCAGTTCTGTAAGTGACGTGTTTTTTGTTTAAAAGAGCAAGTCAGGGTTACTCATTTGAACATTTCAGTCTGACAGTTGATTAGTTTGCATTGTTTCTTTTTCTGAGTTACAGAGGGGGTGAGCTGGAGAGTACAAAAACACCAGGGTTTGTCCTTTCATTACAAACAGATATTTAATATAGAACAATCAGTTGTGATTTATTTTTTCCCATTACTGTCAAAGTCCAATTTTTTAAAAAGCAAAGATGTTGCTGTCCACTGCTTGCTGACACGTGTTCTGTGACTGTACTGCATTTGGCTGTGAACAGTAGCAAAATCCAGGACTAAGAGTCGCTACAAGTCAGCATTTTAGAATCTGCATTTGAAAAGCAAATAGAGTATGTTCTCTTGCTTCTTCAGTCCTAATAGCATTTAACGGTAGCGTGTCTTTTTTTCCTGTCACTACTCTATACATAGTCATTTATGCAAAATTAGTGGGCAGGAGGGGACACAGTTTCTCATTTTTCTTCATAAGTGTGTTGCATTAGATACACCCCTCTTCCTGGGAATACAAGGTGATTCCAAAATGATCTAAAGTACAGGCAGATGAGAAGTTTAGTAAGGAACTGTCCTAACTGGGAAAATCAGCGTGTGCTTCCCTGAATTTGTGTTCTGAAATATGTTACTCTTGCTGAGCTTGTAGAGGGCAAATTGTTTCAATTAGGTGTTACGATGGTTTACAATGAGCACTGCAAATGAGAATTAAGATGTGTGCCTTAGGTATATGTCCCTGAGCTTAGCTCGCACCAGTGCCTGTCAGAGTCTGTTGGTGTACATAGCAAAGCTGTGATTAAGCTAGGAAAAGCATAATTTAAAATCGTGTTTGTCAGGTATTTCTGACAGGAAGGATTTATGACAGTAGAAATATTTCGTTGTCTGAGTAGAAGAATATGATCTCCCTTATGGGGATGTCTGCAGAGGGAAGCCATAAGTTTATTACATTCTAGTGGTGGGTTTAATTCCTGTCCGTGTGGGGAGAGGTGCTTAGAAAGTCAGTTAAACAGACAGGTATCAAGGGTTGTATTTTGTTGTGGGTTTGGTTTGGGTTTTTTTTTTTTTTCCCCAAGATAGTAGAAACCCACGACTGTGGATTTTAGACAGGGAAAAAACAATGTTTGAAAGCAAAGGGAAGATACAAGAGTAGGGTTTTTACCAGCCCAACTGCATTAGACTCTAAAATCCAAAAGGCACATCTTCAGTTGATGCTCTGTCTGATATCATGTGATAACGAATGAGTTGTTGAGTCTTAATTCAGTATTATCTTGTAAATTAGGTTGCCTTGGTGGGAGACGCTCAGAATAAGGCATATGGTTGTCTTGTATGGGATGGAGTTGATTCTGCCTTGGGAGGGGTGTTTTTTGTATACATAGGATTCTTGATGTCTGTTATAATGGAAAAGATGAACAGGAGAAACAGGAGCAGCATGGAGAATAAGGGAGATGAGAATGTGTAAACAGGGAAATTTCTGTTCACGGAGGACCAGATTGCGCCTAGTAATAAGGGTATTTTTTTATACACAGATTCGCAGTGTCTTCCGTGCAGTTCAGACCTCAGTGAAAACTCTGACCTTTCTGTTTGCAAAGAGAACTTTTGATTTTAAGCTTCGACCCTGTCTGTAAAGTTTTCCAGATGCACAAAGTACAATGAATCTGGAAGTTTTTGTATCCGTATAGCTCTTTGCCTGAAACTCACTGTTTAATAGTTTTATTGCAACTCTGATTAATTTCACTCAGACAGCTGGCTAATTGCATGAAGGAATGGATCTGTAAATATTATTTATATGACATTCTAAATGAAAAAATGCAAATGGCTGAATGTTCAGATTTTGTTTGGGTTTGGGTTTTGGTTTTTTTGGGGGTAGGTTTTCTTTTTTTCATATTTTTATCTCTTCCTTTCTGCTTCATTTGAGGAAAAGAGAAAACAGCCTTTTCTGGTTAGAAAGGACAAAATCTTGACTGAGTCTATTGAGCCCAGGTTTAATTCAGATTTACCCAAACAGCCTATTTTTCTGGTCAGGTCCTTTGTCTTCAGTGTCACACTTTTCATATGATCTTTTATATGTTGTGAAGCCGTTTAAGTTTGCAGGCACGGCCGGCTGGCCGCGCTTGATTCAGAGCCTGAGCTCTTAAACAGTCTTTGTACTTTCTCCCGGGCCGCACTTCACGCATGGAAGAACCTCCGGGTAAAACCCACTGAGCCGCTACGTCATTGTTTTCTTTTCTGTCTCTCCTTACAACTTTGCTTTGTTATGATTTCTCCATGACCCTTCAGAGTAACTAGGTAGCTGTTGTACCACTCTCTTATTATGCTAATCATAATTACGGCCCCAGTGTACTCCTCAATTCACTGTTGGAACAGCTTGGCATTTCGCCAGGGTTCAGCTGCCATTTTGTGCTGCCAGGAGTCTGACATTTTATCATCTCCTCTGCGACTTGGCTGCCGCTACCTTTCCCTATGGCCTTCACCTCGCAGGGGATCACCTCAAGGGAAGAACGTGCTCTTTTTCTGCTGCTGCCCCCTGAACACGAGGGCTCTTCTGGCTCGTTAGAGCTGCTGTCGCGGATCTTTGACGGCGTGACTAGCGGAGGCACGCGGGAGCTAGAAGTCGCGCTCTGGCGTTTCAGGTCCTTAGCAAATGCCTGTCACTTCAAGGATGCGAGGAACGTTATGTGAGAAGGATTGAGTAGGATTGCAGGAGGGTTAGGAAAATGGGCATCCACCTTGCAGCATTGCGAGGGTAATTCCATGTGGCCCCAGCTGCAGAACATCCTGGGATTCCTTTTGGTGTAACATCCCGCACTGGGGACACCCATAACTCAACTTTCTCTGTGCGTTTTGTCTCGTGGCTTCATTCCCCGTTCTTGTGAGTGGAGCTAGGAGAGCTGGGACTGCACGTGGTGTCCTGGGATCTGAATAACAATAGCTGGGTGTCTAGGGGTCATGAATAGTCCGTATTATCAATGGTAGCTTCTCCTTTTTATATAGGAATTCTGCCAAATGCATTATGGGCCCTTCCACGATGAACTGGTGTTAATTAAAAACTGACCAATTCGGCATTTTTGCTGACTGACTTTCTGCTTTCCTGTGGTGAAGTGAGAAGTTTGTATTGCAGAAGTCGGGGTCTCTTGAATAGTGGAGTATGCTGAGACGGTCACAGCTGCCTTGCTCTCGTCACCACTACCCTCGGCTTGTGCTACCTTCTTCCGTTTTCTCAGCTCACGTGCTGCTGTGGTAAACTACACAAATACAGGCAAAATACAACTTAGCTGTTGCGTTTTACTGCAGGCATTTTCTGCCATAGATGTACACGTACTTTCTGGCATTAGTGCTGGGAACTTTGCAGAGGACAGTTTTCAGGGACTTTTTTATATTCCCCATGTTAATTCCCTGGCTCAGGTCAGATTGAATGGACTTCATAGATACCTGTGTTGGGGTAGTTTACCCTGTCTTGATAGGTGAGATTTAAACAAGCTATATGAACCCAGATGGTTATAACTTAATAAAAAAGGAGAGAATAAATCTGTTGTGTTAGATTGCCCTCTTGCAAGGATTTTTTCATTATCTAACAGAGTGTTTCTTTCTCTGTACGCCAGGAAGGATTGAGATACTACTGAGCAGCCCACTTGTAACCTGGTTGTCAATTTGTAAAGTCAGCAGTCAGTACACTCCTTGATCTCCAGAGTTTTATCAGAGAAGTAGAATGAGATGTCAGGTCATTCATTTCTTGTGGTCCTCAAGATGTCACGTAATTCTTCCATTATCTCCAATAAAGTCACCCTTGAACTGGGTATAGATTTGGGACTAACACTTTGCTCCCGGCTGGTTGTATTTATAGGTCTGTGTGGACTAGGAAAGATTGCCAGAATTACTGAAAGTCTTACAGTTAATTGCAGAGTTCGGGTTTTGGGTTGGATTTTGAAAAAGATTACTGTTTTCAGTTTGAAATAAAATAACTGGGGCGAAAACTCTGGTGAGGCTGGCCTGTGTGTTGTGGCCAGTTAGCATTAATGAAGAAGCTTAGCTTAGCTTAGGGTTGCTGGAGCATAATATACCTAGTTTTATTGGATTTTGTCTTATGTTTTGCTGATTTGAAGAAAACCATGGAAGTGAATCATGGCTCTCGAGCTCCTGAGAAGTTATTTAAGCACTTTTAACCAGTGCCAAGTCTCTTAAAGAAAGCTCAGGAACAATCTTGGGATTTTTGGTCCTTTCATATTCATTATATGGAGAGATGATTCAGAAACATTGGTCCTTGGTGGCAGGAAGCTTATATCTTTTAGTTGTATTAGCTAAGGAGAGCTATTAAACATGACTTCTGTGTAACGTGGGACTAACCTCGCTTTAGAATCAGCTGCTGGAAGAAGTGCAAGAATTCTTGTCACCAGGGAAAGTCAAGGAGAAAGCACAGGTTGCTCTTATTACCAAAAAAATGCCTCCTAAGAGACTTGGCTGCTGGATCCCTATTATACCTGCAGAGAGGGTGCAGACATAAACTTTGTGATCTTCCTCCCAAACCTCATTTGGAGAGCAGCCTAGCTAGGAATCACATGAGGAAGTTTAGTTTTGGGTTTTTTCTTCCCTGAGTACTTAGGGAGAGATAAAGGTCAGTTTGTATGTGCTGACTCAGAGAAGTGTACTTAAACTGTTTCTAATCGTGTCGTGCAGTGCCGTGGACAAAACTCGTTTGTGGACCTTCTCCTGTGTCTAGCTTTCTCAGCAAAAAGCTGCTGCTCTTTGCTGCAGAGTGAATAAACGACAGGAGGTGGTCCTTTTCCCAGGTGATACGAACAGAGGTTTTGCTGCCTCCTCAGAACGCACGAAGTAGCCAAAGCGTTTTTAGCATCACTGCGGGGAGTGTTGCTGATCTTGCTGCCTTTTGATACTTCAGAAAGAGGTGTGTATGTGCGCAGGATCGTTTCACACCAGTTAGATCCTGGCCAAAATTCATCCTTCTGAACACTTACCATGC